ACTGCCCCTGACAACGAAAACCTCCTTGGCTTCGTGTTTTATAAACAGATTATAAAATATATAAACTGAATATTTTTCGGGCGTATTGGGCATAAAAGGCTAGACTATATTTTATAAACCAATCCGCACTTGCTGTGTGATGTGGTCACCATCACACAGGTCGCATTTACTTCCTAGCGCCCCCGTGTGGGTTCCGGGGCCCCATTGTGGGGGAAAACAAGAATAGACCCACTGCCTCCCCAAAAGCATGTCGTAAGAGTCGACTAATTGGGAAGCTTCCTTTGAAGTCGGAGTGCATCTGCCGGAGAGGCAAGGAACCAACAGTCTGTATTCAAGAGAATGAGATCTGTAAAACTGATGCACACGCAACACTCAGGTTCTGGAGCATGACTGCAGTTTAGTAGTGGACGAGCAACCAGAACTTTCCGCCAGAGTGTACAGCTGGTGAACACGAAGAAGAAGAAGAAGAAGAAGAAGAAGAAGAAGAAGAAGAAGAAGAAGAAGAAGAAGAAGAAGAAGAAGAAGAAGAAGAAGAAGAAGAAGAAGAAGAAGAAGAAGAAGAAGAAGAAGAAGAAGAAGAAGAAGAAGAAGAAGAAGAAGTTCCCAGCACTTTACTCATTTAAAGATGGGTCGACGTGAGAGCCAAGGTCAATTCTGGGGAAAAAGTCAGGCTTCGTCCGGACGTGAACCCACGACCTTCGGATCGGCGGGCCAGCGTCTAGCCGCTAAAACTACGACGGCTTCCACAGCCATGGGATGCTAGCTTAATACTGTATAGAGCGACTGCACTTAATTGTTGATGTGATCAGTATCATGACAGTCGCATTTACTTCCCACGACATTTCCTGGTTCTTATTTCAAGAATGGATCGACCAGAGTGCTTAAGTTAGCTGTAAAAATCCGCCGTAATGAAATTTTGAGCCTATGAAAATCTGGATTGCAGACAAACGTGCTGGCGACTGGGCTAGCATGGCTCCTGTGTGCAGTGGCCTAGCAAGGTCAGGTGGTAGACAGTGAGAAACATATTCTAACCCCCCCCCCCACACACACACACACACAAACAAACAAACACACATATATTAAAAACAATTTAACAACTAATTTTTTTTTTTGGGGGGGGGGGATTTTACCACCCTTCCCCGCCTCCTTTTCCTCCCAAGTATATATTTTAATTTTGTCACCACCCCACTCATCTTTTTTTTAGTGATGCCACACGGGGCCGACTGCATCCCTACTTCCTACGCCACTGCCTGTACGGGGAACAAGAATTAAAACAATTTTTCCTAAATGATTGAGACAAAAGGTTGGTAGACAGACAGGTAGAATGGATTATAAGAATAAAACAACCAAATTGTTAATTACAGTATCTTACTGCTCAAGATAAAACAATCAATAACAGCTGCTAGAGTTAAAGAGTTTTAAAAAAAAATTGTTCATGTCAAATGTGTTAATTACAAAATTATATTTGTAAAAAAAGGTAAATGATCCTTTTCCACGCCTTTACGCGTACTAGGCATATATGGCTAGACCTACATTTTATAGACCAATCGGCACTCGGTCGGTGATGTGGTCAGCAACACGTCAGCCGCCTTTACTTCCCAACTGCACCTGGTACCCACTCAAGGCTGGGTGACCTGAGAGCCCAGGTCATTAAAAAAAAAAACTTCGGCTCTGCCAAGATCCAAACCCACAACCTTCCAAACCGCAGGCGAGCGTCTAGCTGCTAGACCACGGCGACTCGCAATCTATATTTGTAATTGTTACAAAACAGCTTTCGCTGCACGAGTTACTTCCCCATAGATTTACCACGTCAACGGCCTTTGTTGACAGCTGTGCACCTCATTGAGCTACAAGAGGATTTGTATCGACCTCAGTCAGCCACGTGTTCCTACACAATTAACTAGATGCCATGTGGCATACGTTCTCCGTGTTTAAACTCTTCTATGAATATAATTGTAATAATGCAAAGATGGATCAAAAGAAGCGACTGCCTTAACGTTGAATATGCAGTACTCATTCATTGTAATTGAAGGAAAGAGACAACAAACAATACAGCATACACATATGAAAAGTACAAACCAAAATGTGCTTGCAAAATAACATAAGAGAACCGTGAATGGATTAACACTTTCCGTGGGAACAGTAACACGTGTAAATGTAATTCATAGGAACCTGTTGAGTCTAACGCAATGGCTTAACAATTAGATACAGGGGTAACAGGCCATAGATTCTGGACTAGATTCCATCCCTTATATTGAAAAGACAAAACTACACTGGATGGGAAGTCCACTTCAGTAAAAGTCTAACATGCAACAGAAGCAAAGTACTCATTTTGTGGTGTAGGTAAATGAAATCCCAGGTCTGCAAGCTGCATACTGTTGGCTACAAAAGAGATAGCCCATGATGTATGAGATGTTCAATACATGGAAGTGAGGTTAAACAGTCATTAGCAGTACACGACGATTTCTTGGGTGAGCCCAGTACCAGAGCACCATGTATTAGCTCTGCATATGTGGAAGCCTCCTTGGATGGCGGCAAATGCTCATGTTCTGCCCCTGCCTTCTCTTAAGGGCTGATCAGCATTATGTGGCCTCTCTGGATGAACCTGATTGGGGCACCACCTGTGACCTGGAAATAAAGATGGGTTCTTAATTTTTAACGTCCCCCAAACACGAAATTCCCGTGGGAATTCCACAGCTGACTTGACAGTCCATTATTTCAAGGGGTGCAAGTGTGCTGCTGTCTGCTGCTGTTTTTGAGTGTTCATCTAGTGTCTTATGGTTGGGGTTCATACTGAGGGGAGGATCTGAACACCTATGGACATGTCCGGAGTGCAATGAGGGTAACCCAACTAACTAACTAACTAGTGTCTTATGGTGCGACATATTTCGGTCTGTTGATGCGCATCGACCACAAAGTGAAGCTGCCATGTCCCCAGAAACTAACCGGGAAGGCTAACCCGGTCAACAAATGCCCGCAGAAGTCGGATATGTTGGCCGAAAGGTGCAAATATCGCAGCCATGCTGTAAACGGACACAACGCAATTACATCTTCGGATGAACGCAGAAGAAGACGAAGATATCGAAAAGACTACAAAATGGAACAGAACTGAAAAAAAAAAAAAAAATCCGAGCCCATGTGCTTTAAAAAACTATATCAGAGGATGCGCCATGGCCGGATTTAGACTTAATGAGGCCCTTATCTATATAAAGCCCTGAGGCTCTTACTGTTTTAAATGAAACCAGCTAGTCTAAAAAAAAAATTACTTTAAAATATCTAAGCCTTTAAAGTATGTCAAATGACAATTTCCCATACTTTCAGGTGTATTGGGCACACAGGGAAAGATCTATTTTCATATGGATAATGGAAATGTAGTGTCGTTTAATTTTTAGTAGAATCACATAAATTATATCAAATAACACTCACGTGCGGGTTCCGAGGCCCCATTTTGGGTAAAAACAAGAGTAGACCCACTGCCTTTATAACAAGCATGTCGTAAGAGAAGAGTAATTATGAAATTTCTTCGAAGTCAGAGTGCTTCTGCCCGAGAGACAAGGAACCTCAAGTCTGCATAGAAATAAGCTAAATCTGTGGAACGGATCTGCATGCAGATTTCAAGTTCTAGAAAAAGATTTAAGTCCAAAATTGGACAAAGAATCAGAATGTGACAATTGTATTTACAACCAGTGAACGCAAAGAAGTAGAAGAAGAAGAAGGAGAAGAAGGTTTTAATTACACTCTTAAAGACTCTATTATAGAAAACTGCATTTGTGAATAAAAAGAATTTGTTGAAGACCCTGCAGAGTGAGGCCCTAAGCTGTAGTTTATATGACATGTCTAAATCCGGCACTAAGATGCATAATCAATAGAAGTAAATAGACTTTTTTGCCGCCGACACTGCAGTGTTTACTTCAATGAATCACGAGGAAGGAAAACTGGTGAACTATCGAGAATTTTTCTGTTGTAATGAGAGGGACCTGTTTCAAAGGGCCATACTGGTAATGTCTTTGGCACAGTTGTACTAGTATTCATGTGAGGAGGGGCTGGCTGAATGGTTAGAACACTGGGCTCTCAGGCTGGAGAGCCGGGTTCGAATCCTCGTTAAGGCTGGGGATTTTTTCTGTCAGGAGAAAAATAAAATCTTCACCTGCACAGCTGTGGCGACAGCACTAGCTATGCGCCCTTAATCCACATGCTCTATATTCGCTTGCCTACAAAGTGAAAGTGATATATTTTTATGTTATATATGTAAAAACAGTAATTTATACATATGTGGGTTACAATTTAGATTTTTTTCGGGGAGGGGGGGGGGGGGGGGGGGGAGTTGTTTTCTGTTTCGATATTTATGCTAGGACTTTACAGCACAATGTCATTTCTTGCAAAGAAAATGGAGTGGTGTGCTGTAGTCGCCTGCAACAGTTACATCTGAATTTTTCGGATATTTTCAGCGACTGAGCTGGATTCAACTCGGGTGTGTAATAACTTGGGCCAATGAGATGCGGACACCGTATGCCATGGGATGGTTTCCCGATCAAAGCTGCATAGGTACAGGGCTGCCAATGGGATTTTTTTTTTTAAAAACCCAGCTTCGCTAAACAAAAACCCAAGCAATACATAGACAAAGAACCAAAAAAAAAACAAAGATGTTAAAATGTACAAAATTTATAGTTACGAAAGGAAACAATTACCACTTTTATACAAGGATATATTAAAAAAAAAAACACCCAGATTTCCCTGAGGCCTCTAAGAAAAACCCAGAACTTGGGGGAAAACCCAGCATAGGCAGCCCTGCAAAGGTATAGCGGGCTAGTGAGCTCTTGCATCTTGAAAACATATTTTACCACACGTAAACCGGATATGTAAGCCACTTGGTTCGTGGACCAATGAAATGCGGACAACACAGATGGGCGCCGCTGATTGGCTGAGCTGCCGTCTGACTACCACTTCTGTAGACTGCTGGAGCAGATAGTAGCCGGTCGGGTTTCACGTCGTCGTACAACATGAAAACTCTTATTCTTTATCTCTGTGTGGCTCTTTATTCTGTGGTACAGGCTGCAGACGATGTTCTTGTTTTTACAGATGCAGATTTTGCAACTGCAGTAGCTAAACATCCCGTTATTTTAGTGGAATTCTATGCGCCATGGTAAGTCGTGAACTCTCCGTTGTTTGTTGAACTGAACCGACTTGAACTACGTACGTTGCAACGGTAGCGTCCGGTTCACTACGGTCCATCTCTCAAGTAGTACTTTCATGAAGTTGTGGCTTAGGCCAGCAGCGCACAGACACTAGTTAAAACTCTAGTATAAACTTTAGAAGTTTAGATTGCTTGCGATGATCAACAAACATCTTCTTAAGTTCGGTATATCTGACTTAGATTAGATACGCCGGCATCATGTGACGATGTTCAGTCCTAAGGTTTTAAAGTGTTATTTAAATTCATGAATTTGTAATGAAGCCACAGGTGTGAAGTCCGGCTGACACGTACGTTACCAATAAATGCACAGTGTGGGTTCAGTATAGCTTTGGCTAATAAAGTATGGCATTTGCTACATAATGATCCATGTTATAAAGAAAATAACATTGATAAATTTTATAAATGAATACATTCTGGATGTTCACATTTCATGAGCATGATGAATCTTTTGTTACCAGAAGTAACCTGGTGAAAGTGAATTAAAATCTAGTTGGTTGTGGGTCACAGTGGTGAAGCTATGGAGTGTGCAACAACTCACAAGGACATTTAGTATCACCATTTAGCCATGTTATTTTGCCTTTGCTAGTGGTCATTTACTGACTAGTCATTAGTAGGCCTTGGCAGCTAATGCCCCCCCCTCCCCCCGCCCCCCTCCCCCCGCCCCCGCCCCCAACCTACATTCAGTCACAGCTGTAAATTAATTTATATATAAGAAATAGTTTGCAATCAGCAAATATCTTACTAAACATCCTGAGACTGTTACTACTGATGATCAAACTCCAGACTGGGATCCCATGTGATGCATGATAGGATGTTTCCCCGCGAGTCCCTCCCAGTTATTTATTGTCATGCTTACAGGGTACACGTTTCAGTGTTTGATCTTCAGTGTAGAAAATACGTCATGGTGAAGATGGCGGTAATAATCAAGTTGAAAATATACTTCAGATGTCTCTTCAGGAATGACGTGAGAAGAAACAAATCATATTCTGAATGCCCTGGCAGCAAATAAAGTAACTTGCTCCTACTAACTCATTTTCCTTCCCGGTAATGCCTCTTATGTTCCATGTTCCGTAAATTGTAATCTGTAAGTCATGCCAGTTTGTCACCGTTAAGATCCATCCAGTTTTCTCTCTGTGGTTACTTGTAATGGTAGTTTAAGGCAAACAGGTGATTGCCCTGTTGTTTGTTTGCATGGTGGAGGGGCTGCCACCTTACGATCTGCATGCAGGCCGTCTGGCTGATTCACGGTTACACACTGCTTCCCGAAATGCATGAAGCACTCAGATTCAGCCAGACCCTCCTTTTACCGATGGGCTTTGGACCGGTCTTAATGGAGTTCACCCCACAGAAATTGAAGTATATTCAGATAATGTTGTGCGACATGCCTCAGGTATTGTTTGAGACTTTATTTGTTTTAAAACCTTATTGATTAAATTTGATGATTCAGTATCCTTGTTGCTCATGTATATATATATATATATAATATATTTAACTAGGTGTGGCCATTGCAAGAGATTAGCACCAGAGTATGAAAAGGCAGCAACCATACTTTTAGGATCGGATCCACCAGTAGCTCTGGCAAAGGTAATATTTACACTTGCCATGCAGCAGTTAGTGTATTTAAAACACTTGAGATCCATTTAAAATAGAAATATTTGAAAAAAATGTATATTGCTTTGAGAAGTGACAGTTATGATATGTAAACATTTGCTGAAAGAACGACGAACATTTGGAGAACAAAGAAAGAACTATGGCCTTTATTGGCGTCATTCCAAACCATTTTGTGGTGGTGTCACAGCCTTGAGCTTTCTTGTGTATATAAATATATCTAGTAAAGTTTGAATGTGTAGAAAGAACAAATACAGATCTTAATTAGTTTTCACAGATAACATTGCTTTGAAATCTGAAAATCTTTGAAAATCCTGTGATGGATAATGAAATATAATTGTTGTTATGGCCACAGCATTAATTAGATATGTGCTTGATTGATTGTAGGTTGACTGCACTGTTGAAACCAATACCTGCTCCAAATATGGTGTCTCTGGCTACCCTACCTTGAAGATTTTCAAAAATGGAGAATTTTCCAAAGACTATGAGGGGCCACGAGAAACTGGTAAGATGCTTGCCCTGAGGACGGGCCCATCAGTTTAGCATTTTATTCTTTTACTTTGTATTCCTGCCCCAGTCAGGAAATATTTTCTGTTGGGGGCAAAATTAAACATCCTTACCTGTCCAGCCCATGGAGACAGCACTAGCCATCGGGCCCTAAGTCCTCAGGTTCATTAACACCCTATCTACACAGCCTTAAAAAAAAAAAAAAAGACTGTAAAACAGACAGTAGTGACAGTTTTTGTAATAATTTTTTTATACAGATAGATGTGTTGGAGAATGAACAAGCAAACATATTGACTGGTTCTACATCACTTGGTGGTAAATTGGTGTATGACAAACTAAATATGGTCAATTCCCTCTGGGGAATGGAGAGAGTAATGTGTAAACACAAATAGGTCATCACAGGCTGAAGAGAACAGGGTGCAGCGGGAAGTAACCACGGGATTAGGTCGATGCTGAGCACTCATAAAAAAGGCAAGATGGATGTACAAAAAGACTGTGACTGATACAACCAGAAATGGAACTTTGCACTGGCTACTGAGGGAGCTGCTATGGTGTAGTGGCTAGATGCTTACCTGCGGATCAGAAAGTCATGGGTTCAGGCCCTGATGGAGCCTGACTTTTTTTAAGAGCAGCCTTGGCTCCCATGTCAATCCAGCCTTTAGCGAGTACCGGATAAATCCTGGAAAGTAAAGGCTGCGGGCGTGATGCTGATCACATTACCCACCAAGTGCTGATTGGTCTGTAAATACAGGTCCAGCCCTGATGCCCTTCTTCACCTCCCACTGAGGTATCCTGAAAGCTTGACACTAATCTGGCTAGTGAAGAGATGATCACTTGAGATTGTCACGGTATGAATTCTGCAGAGAGCCAAACATTTTGCACGATGTGACATTGCAGGAGAGTAGTTCAGCAGTAACACAAGGGGGTGCACACCTGACATGGTAGGCGAGTTCAAGCGGTTTGTTACCTGCAGTACCAGTGCGTGCTCAGAACATGCAGTCTTCCTTAGTTACACTGACTAAACTCCTAGAAGGAAGACATTGGTGACTCAAGACAGCCAGTAGAACTGTTTATTCAGTCAGTGCACTCTTTAAGAGTTCAAACTGTCTAAGGTTTAAACAGCGCAGGAGCTTCATTTATATCATATGATCAAGATATTTACACAGTCCTTGTACTTCTTCTCCTCCTCCTTCTCCTCGTCCTCCTTCTTCTTCTGTGTTCATGGGAGGATGTAATTGCGTTGTGTCCGTTTACAATATAGCTGCAATATTTGTTTGGCCGGCACATCAACCTTCTTCAGGCATATGTTAACTGGGTTAGCCTTCCCGGATGTGTTTCATTCAGTTCATACTCCCTAACATACTCCTACCAAGCTCCTGCTTTTTTATGCAATAATTCAGTCTGCCTTATTATAAATTGTGCCCGCTCTGCCTTTCTCACATAATTTATGATCAGTAGTTAGTGTCTGGATGTTCTTCTTCTGCTGGGAAAATGGATCATGACAGTGGGGTTTGTATCATTGATAGCTAAGGTGCTGGTGTTGGGATCTGAGTAAGGATACTTTGAAACAAATTTAGTCATATACTTATTTATCAGTGTAAAACAAACCTTTCTGTCCTGCCTCCTATTTTGTGTGTGTTCTGTATCTCTGTTTTGTAGGAGATATGCCTGCATCAAAGTAAAACTATCTCCTTGGGTTCAAATCTACTAATTATGATGAATGTCACAGATTCCTGCAGCATAAGGAATCTAAGATTGTTGCATTCATTCCTGATCCCATGCTGCTGAATTATAGTCTGACCTGTTCAGATAGTTTCTATTCCTTGTGTGGATATTGTATTCTTTAGTTTTAAATTCTAATAAATATTTATTGTTTGTCTTATACTTTATTTATATAAAGTTTAGATTAGTCATAATGTTATGTTCAGAACATATGAATCTGCCATTTCATGTCTTTGGTTTCTCTGTATATTTATATGTTGTGTCTTTCTGCACCCACACAGATGGCATTGTCAAGGTCATGAACAGGGAGGCTGGCCCAGTGTCCAAGAAGCTGGAAACTAAAGAACAAGCCCTCAAATTCCTTGAGAAAGACACAGTTGGTGTCATTGGTAGGTTTTGTCTAGTAGTTAAATACTGACATGACCCCTGGGACCTTCTCGTAAGTGCTTAGTTCTCATCTTCAGAAGCCATCTCAAGAGGTCCAATTCCTATGATACTGGTAGCATAATACTGTTTGTCCATCTTGCCATTCCTCTCATGTTTAGTATCGGCCAGAACCCCTGATCATTCCCCACGGCATCATTCTCTTTAGACTGAGATAATCAATCCAGTAACCTGTCTCTTTACTCCTCATTTCTTTTATTATTTTCATTTATTCCTTCTTACTTTATTTCTGGTATATGTGGCTCCTGAAGGTCACTATAATGCAAGAATGCTAACAAGATTTACTGAATTTTGATCGCAGGCTAATTAAAAATCAATATATAAACCTCACAATAAATGTTGTGTGCGAGGTTCATTTCACAGTAGTGGAAGTATGTTTTTGGCTTGTCGTGAAGCTTGTCTGCCAGTCACCAGACATGGACCTTTCTGTATTCTCAGTATACCAATTGGTATGTAAATAGGGTACTCCCCACTGAAAACACACACACACGCACGCATAAATGTGCGCGCGCACACACTTATACGTGCACGCACACACACATCTTTCTCTCTCTCTCTTTGACTGTCTGTCACTATCTCTCTCTAGAAATGTGTGGGTCACCAAGGACATCAACAGTTATAAAATCAAGAAGGTGACATATTGGTTACGTCCTGAATCCAAGTGAACAGAGAATCACCAAACTGGCACTTAAATGGTAACGAAATAGATTGAGGAGATGAGGATGTCCAAAAAAAACACACACCCTAAAACAAACTTTGATGAGAGGCCAAAGGTGCTGGACTGGATTCTACCATGCTATTGATTACAACTCAATGGTAGAATAAACTGCAAGCACTATATGACATATAATGGTACTACAAAAATACTTTGTTCAAATTTTCAGCATTGTTTTCATAAAATATGCACATCTTGATCAATTCCAGGTTTCTTTAATGCTGAAGATAGTGCCAAGGCCAAGTCCTTCTTGAAAGTTGCAGACGGGCTGCCCAGCATCCGATTTGGTCATACTACCAGTGATGAGGTGAAAGCAGAATTCAAGGTTACTGAAGAGTAAGTGATCCTTCGGTTATATCTATCAAGATGTGTTTGAAAATTACATGATCATTAATAAGGTTACTTGTTTATTAAATTGGGGAACCACCCTGCAGTAGCTAGAAGCTCATCTGAAGATCCAAAGGTTGTGGGTTCAGGCCCTGATGGAGCCTGACTTGTATCAAAAATGACCTTATTCCTGTGTGGGGGGAAAACAAGAATAGACCCACTGCCTACCAAAAAGCATGTCGTAAGAGTCGACTAATTGGTAGCTTCCTTTTAAGTCGGAGTGCATCTGCCTGAGAGGCAAGGAACCAACAGTCTGCATTCAAGTGAATCAGATCTGTAAAACTAATGCACACGCAACACCCAGGTTCTGGAGCAGGACTGCAGTCCAGGTGTGGACGAACAACCAGAACTTTCTGCCAGAGTGTACAGCTGGTGAACGGGAAGAAGAAGAAGAAGAAAAATGACCTTGGCTCGCAATTCGATCCAGCCTTAAATGGGTAAAAGGTAAATTCCTGGGAAGTAAAGGCAGCCGGCATGATGTTGATATCATCACCTGCGGATGTGAAATGTAGGTCTAGCCATATATGCCCCCATACTGCTGATTGCATGGACAAGGGTCCTTTTATTCATCGAATTATACAAAAAAAAAATCATATATGTAGTAAACAGTGCAACATTGAATAACATAATAAAATATACCATGTGAATCTGTTGATTCATACTTGTTTTGCGTAGAGTAATTCACCTAGAGATATATTTGTCCAGGCATTGGTTCCATTATCAAATAAAGACATTTATCCCAGTAAACAAGAAGTCAGTGTCTTGTGGCTTATGGGACTTGGTCATTAGTTTCAAATCTCTTTCCAGCTAAGTTCTTCCAGAAAATTTGAAATAAGAATGAAACTCACTGGGTACCAGGACTTCACAGACCACCCCTGGTATTTTTTTGGCTCTTAGGTTTGCTAGGTGATTCAGTGTTATATTCTTGTCGCTGCCTTCTGAATAGTGCAACACTTATGCTGTTGTCTAAATAAGTGCAAAGCTGTCAAACCCGGAATTGTTTAAATATTCACAACCCCTATGCCCCAGTCACTAATGTGCATCTTATGCTTGACACACCACCGTCTTTACTTCCAAGGATGTTTCCTAGTACTTATTTTAGGCTGGGTCGACCTAGATGCGAAAATCAGTTATGAAAATTCATCTGACTGAAGATTCAAATCCAAGACCTTTGGGCCATCACCCACTACTCTAGTCACTGCATTACCAGGCCTCCTCATCTGCATGTAAAGTTTTGCAAAAACATAATTTGGAATGGAACAGTTCATCTGCATGCATCACTTAACAAAACAGGAAATGTTGAAGAATCTAGAGACATAAAGGGAACAAGTCTTTCATCTTTGAACATTTCTGCAGTTTTTTTTTTTAATTAGATGAAAAAGTGCAAAAATAATTTGAAAAATAAATTCCTTAATGAAACTTATTCTTAGGTTAAAAAATGTGTTTTATTTGTGTTTTGCAGAAGTGTTTTGTTAACAGGTTTGTTTGTGTTAACATAGAACCCAAAATCTTTCGTTGGTTTTTATTAGAAATAATTTAGTAAAAATTTAGACCCAGATGATGATGTTACACACCAGATAAATCTCTAGCGAGAGGTAAGAGGGTTCTCATGCAAATGAGGATGGAAGTCGTTTAAAAAAGAAAGAAAGCCTTGTGTATAACATCACAACACCTAGCATGAGAATGGAAATAGAAGCATTAATGGCAGATTTCCAGTGGTAGATAGTAGTACCGCCCAATATGTTGTAATTAAACAGGATGTTGCCAAACAAGAACGCTATGCAGGTAGCCAAAGAAGAATAATAAACTAACTTAGAGCTGGTGTCGTCAGCCACTAAACACTGCATGGTTTACTGAGGAGGGAATTTGAGCACTTATAGACAGAGTGGTTCTACATGCAATGAGGATAATCTGTTGGCTAACTAACTAACATGTTGTAATTAAAACTGACTCGCAGAGCATGCTTTGGAAAATAGAAACTGGTGCTTTGCACTTAGAGTGGCTTGCCTCCCTTAACAAGACTCAGACAAGAAGCATATCATGGCTTTTTTTTCCTGAGGACATTAAGGTTTTCATGGTAATGAGAAGACTGATAGATTAGCTGCTACTGTGCCTGTGGGTGGTGAGCTTCTTTATGATAAAGGGAATGTGGTGAAGGCTCACTGGGATCAAGCAAATTGTTTCAGCTGAACAGAGAAAGCATTCAGATCTGGCAAGAAGGATTCAGCTGGCAGTGAGCAAACAAAGGGTGTGGGAGAATTTCTACTTGCAAAGGGAGAGACAGATGACGTTTGATCAGGTTGTAAGTGGCACCATGAGTATGGGAAACGCTTCATTAGCTATTAGTGAAGGGGACTGAGCATGTAGGGGAATGTCCTGTGTGCAGTATTTTCAGTTCTTCATTCATTCATGTGTAATTTAGGTCTGAAAATGTCTTCAATTTGTATACTAATTTATTCAGTTCTGCAGCACCGATATAATTTTTTTTTCAGGGGAGCGAAAATGTTTAGACCCCCGGCACTCCAGAGTAAATTTGAAGATGCTGAGGTTTACACCACGGAGACAGGAGATAAATTAAAATCCATTTTGGAATCTGAATCGTAAGAAGTGATCCTGTTTGTGGCATTATTTGCTGTTGAGATGACCTGATATTTGTCTTCATTTGTTTGATGATCTAAGTGTTAATGGATGTGTTTGTTTATTAATGTTGGCTGTAATGCAGATACATTTTTAGAAAAATTATATCCTAAAATATTTTTATATACTATTTTTTAAAAATCTCTCTTTCAATCTCCATTCTGTCTGTCATATCTGTCCTTATTGTACTGTTCTTTTTCCCTTATCTGTCTTTTCTCCCTCACTCTTGAATCTCTCACTCTCCGTCTTTCGCTTTCCTGTGTTAGCACAAATTATTGTAATTAAGAAGATTTTTTGAAGTGTTACCAGTTTTTTTTTTAAAAACAGAGAGAAATATCTGTACTTTATCATCAACACATACTTTTCTGACTCATGTGTTTGATTCCATCTTGCTATCTTCAGCAGCATGTATGAGTATGTGTGTTGATAATTTTTCTGACCATGAAAAAAGTCACTAACAATCTTCTCTTATCTTTCTGTCATACCTTCCATTCTTCTCTGATCTTAATGTGGCCACAGTATTATGGCTGCTTCTTTTTCATGTCTGTGATAAATTGTCTTTATATTCTTTCTTTTTACACCTTTATCTAATGAAATGTTTCTCAGTGGTTTTTAAGGCTTTGACAGCTGTTTGCTGCCAATATGTGTTCTTTACATCTTTGGAGTTTTCTTCACAGTTTAGATTATTTGCTCATGTTTTGCACTGTCATACACTAATTTATGGTTTAATCTTGATTCTTTGTCTTCTCAATAACAGTTTTATCCTATAACTTAAAAAACTTACTCTCCGAATGGGTTTAGGGACCCTATTATAAGGAAAATAAGAATAGACCCACCGCCTTACCAAAAAGCATGTCGTAAGAGTAGATGAAATGAGTTTCCTTCGAAGCCGGAGTGCATCTGCCTAAGAGGCAAGGTACCAACAGATGAGTTAAATCTGTCAAATGGATGCAGAGTTTACTGCCGGTAGACATGAAGAAGAAGAAGATAAGACTTAATGAGTGATGATCTTCACATTCTTAAGCACTTGATTTCTTTATTGGAACTAGGAATATAAAAAAAAAAAAAATCCCCCAAAATGCATTTGCTGTTGCTTGTCTGATCAGCTCTCTTCACCTTCATGTATCCAGATCTCCCTGATCTGTTTTTAATTTTCCGACTTTTTGTGTGTGTGTGTGTGTGGGAAAGATCAGATGAAAACTCAAAAGAACGCCCTCATCGTGTAGGTTCCGAGGACCCATTTTTAGAAAAAAAAAAGAATAGACCCACTACCTGCAAAGCAGGCATGTTTTTAGAGTCAACAAATTAAGGTTTTACTTTGAAGTCGAAGTGCATCTGCCTGAGAGGCAAGGAACCAACAGTCTGCATACACATGAGCTAGATCTGTTAATCGGATATGCATGCTGGAGTTAACGGCTGCAAAGAAGAAGATAAAGACCAGAAAACAAAATACATGATTGTAATAAGAATAATCAAGTTGTCACTGACTGTTGCTCGACTGTGCTGTCATTTTAGACTTGGCCTGTGTGGAGAACGTACTACAGGTAATGCTGAAAACTTTGGCAAACCTTTATGTGTCGTCTACTACAATGTGGACTACAAGAAAAACCCCAAGGGAACTAACTACTGGAGGAACAGGTAAAGCAGTTACATTTTATTCTTTTTGTACTAGACAGTTTTGTTTAGTATGGGGGGGGGGGGGGGGAATGGGTGGGTGGGTCTGTGTGGTGAAGTAGTCAAGCTGTTTGTCTCGCACTCTGAAGGTGGTGGGTTCGTTTCACGGCGGGGCCGCTCACTTCATGAATACAATTTTTACCGAGATCCCTGGGTGCTCATCACCAGAGCTACAGAGTTCCTGCTCTGTGCGGCGCTCTCAGCAGGCGGCTAGCCATTCTGAGGAGAGACACCAAGTCATATGGGATAAAATCCCGTGCAGTGCAGTTGATTCTCTTTTCTTCAACCTTAAATTTGTATTTTACATTTTAAATGCTAAAAAATATTTGTGTACACAATTATGTGTCAATTTTGATTCTGATGTCATTCACCGGATGATGCACACTTGTGATCAGAATATACGAGTAACAGTTTCCTGTGAAAACATGACTGCCCTTGCTTAATCATACAATTTTGAAGGCTTAAATAAATTTTTATAAAAATGATAAAAGTTTTTTAAATGAATTTTTTTTTATTTAATTCATATTTCTTGAGAATATACTTTTTGACATTTTAGAGTCATGAAGGTGGCCAAAGAATACAAAGGTAAAGAGGGAGCCCCCAGATTTGCCATTAGCAACATCGATGAGTTTGGCAGAGAACTGGATGAGTGTGGTATCGAGAACAGAAGTGGGGACAAACCATTTGTGTGTTGCTATGACAGCAGTAACAAGAAGTACAAGCTGACAGAAGTTTTCAGGTATACCCTGTCATTTTTCCCTTTCTGCATTATGACATAGGTATTAGTGCTTATACACCTTTATTTTTCAGAATATAATTATGACAGCAGTGCTGACACTGTCTTATTTTGTTAAATAATGACGGTATCATATTTATTTGAATCATCAGCAGTTTACTGATAGTACAAATCCTCTCATATTCGGTTAAAATGACAACAGTGTCATGTGCATTGACAGTGTTGGCAGTTGCCATTTAAGCCATTTTCTGTACAGATTATAATGGTCTTATGTTCTATTAAAATAACAGTACAGTCGAGTCCACTTAAGTTGAACTCTGATAAGACAAATTTTGCTTAAGTCGACATGATCAACTTATTCCAGATCATTTCCTTTCTTTATCTTTGTATAAAAAGTCATGATAAGTCAGTTTTATTAGCTCAAATTTTTAGATTAGTCAAATCTAAAAATAAAAACCAACTATATACGTGTTGGTGCTTAAGTCGAAGTATTCATTATCTCATACCCGCTTTTTTTGTGATATGCATTCGAAGGGTTGGTGAAAAGCCAGCAGTATAAGAAATGGAACTATTGCAATCCGCAGATACACGATGACAGCCACACATGGGGTGGGGGCGGTTGCCTCACGTGCTGTTGATTCTAGGTTCACGTTGTTGCCGCTCATGTTTACACTGCTGTTAGGCTGTTTGGCAATAAGCATTCAAACTCCTCTAAAATCTTCCCTATTTTCTGCTCTTTCTCCTTCTCTCTACTCCTTTCACGCCCTCTCTCTTCTTATCCTCTGCCTTCCATATCTGTTCTCAGTTCTCTTGCTGTCCTCCTTCCTGCCCCTCTCTCTGTCTCTTTTCCCTTTCCTCTCTCTCCCTCACATCTGCCATCTCCTCCTCTGAGTTTTACTTACACTCTTCTGTTTCTTTCTCTCTCCTTCTCCTTCCTTTCCTCTTTATTTTGTCATCTCTACCCTTTTTATGGTTTACCTAATCAACTGCCACACAACTGTTTTTTTTCCTTTTGGCTGCGTCTAGTACACAAGAAATTTTGTTATTGATGGGGAGATGGGGTGCAGTTTCAGCAGTGTTTTTCTGTAATGTTTTTTGTGGGACATTCAAACATAAAGGCATGTGATTGTTTGCTTTCAGCATTGAGAGCTTGGAGAAGCATGTGGAAGACTTTGTAGCTGGCAAGCTGGAGCCACATCTTAAATCTGAGCCTGTACCAGAGCCAAATGATGACCCTGTCAAGGTAATACACAGCTGCCCTGTTGGTGCTTTATTTCTTACAGGCATTCATGTTTCTTTCCTGTTTAACCCTTTCGGCCCGAGAAGCAGGAAAACCGACTCTTCCGGTCAGGCCCAGTTCCCAGTAAATGTCTTCCGACTTGCTTATGGTGACCTGTTTACAAGACAACATAGTTGATGCTGTTGGTTTATTTCACACCTGCGAAAACGTTTAGGAGGTCATGATATGACAGCCTTAACTAAAATAGCCTGTGTGGAGATTTTTCTTTGAGCCAAATAGTTTTTCTAAAGCCAAGTTGACGTCAAATTTTCGTGTAGTGTCACTGATAGAGATCACAGTATGAGACATATATTTTTCAAACCCAGGCAATCCCTCTTTCTTGCACTCATATGTATAATGTCTGTGGCAGACTTTCACAAATGAGAGGGGGCATCAGATTTTAGCTAAGTAGGAACCACTGGTTGAGAGTAAACAGTTAATTTACTCATTAAATTTTTTTTTAAAATAAATGTAATTAGATCTTCAGCAGACATGAGGGCATTAGTTAATGAAGGTAATTACAGTAAGACCCCATTAGCATAAACTTGGTTAAGATGAAAATTCAGTTAAGGAAGAAAACGTTAGTCCCATCAGGGATGTGTTATTCATTATATATCTATTTGTCCCTGGTACATTTTTGAAACATGAACTTTTCATCATTACTGTCCCAGGAATGTATTTTAACAATGTGTTACTGAATATCTGTAGTCTGCTAGGCAGGTGTTCTCATTGAGTAATGGTGATGGAGGGTGCTGTTTCCGTAAAACATGGCCGACACTGACCTTCGTGAATGTGGATACAGGACATTGACGATGCATTTGTTATGGCAGCACACGAGGCTGAAGAATTTGCTAGAGAAAGATACTTTCAGGCGTGATTCAGTTACAGTCACCATTTGTCTGTGTGTGTCTTGTCTTCTCTAACCAGCCTAAAGCTGCAGTGACCGCATGACTCAGAAACTGACTCAGAAAGCATGCTGAGGAAGATCAGGACAGGCATGCTTCGTGCAGAGTGGCATGCTTTGCTGCGGAGGACATGGGTGAGGAGTATTGTCTGGATTTTTTCACTGGGGTACGCTTGTGTGTTGGAAAATGAACAGAGGGACAGACTGGCTGGCTCTGCACAGCTTGGTGTACTGATACATGATAAAGCAGACGTGGTTAGTGCCTTGTGGGAGACAGTGTACAGTTCGGAGGAGCAGATGGATCACCATAGTCTGGTGAGATTGCAAGAGGAGTGACGAGAGGTTCTGGCAGATGCTCGAGGCTCAGAGGAAAGGCAAGACGGACGTTAAATCAGAATGCTGCTGGCACCATTGGTATCGGAACTCTTCGCTGGCTGCTGAAGATGGGGACAGAGCGCTTATGGGAATGCCCTGAGTGCTGTGATGTCGGTTCTTAAGTTAAATCAAATCATTTTCAGGCGTGCTGTGAAGAGAGTAACTATCTGTAAAAGAACATGCTGATTGATTGAATAGACAGTGTGATAATGTCTCTTTGACATTTATCACAGAAATGTTGATAATTAGTTTTGGGAATGAGTGAAGCCATGATATCATCATGATAACTGTAATGATGTTGCAGGTTGTGGTGGCCAAGAACTTTGATGAGATTGTTAACAATGAAGATAAAGATGTTCTCATTGAGTTTTATGCTCCTTGGTGTGGTCATTGTAAGACTTTAGCTCCCAAATACGAGGAGCTGGCTCAGAAGGTAAGTCCTGTCATCTCATTCTTGTCTCGTGTTGGAACCGTTTGGGTTCAAGTCATTTGTGTATGTTTATGTGATCTGAAGAAGTTCAGGCTGGACATGGCTTCATTCCATTCAGGCAGAGGTTTTGGGAGAGGAAAAAAATGGGTTGGGTGGAAGAAAGGAGAGAGAAGAATAGAGAATGCGGGGGAAGAAAGAGAAGGGTGAATGTGAGTCTGGGGAATAGCAACAAAGAGTGAAGGAGCGAGGTGAAGATAGAATGAGGGAGGTGAAGATAGAATGAGGGAGGGAGGGGATGTGAAAGTGAGAGAACAAGAGAGTGAGGAAAGGAGGGGATGAGAGAGAAAAAGAATACAATACAGTGTTAACCACAAAGTTCCAAAATCCGATTAGTTCTGTTAGTAGATTTCTGGAATTAGGTTGGTCACGTTTCAGTGGTGTAAGCATCTGTAATGAAAAGGGGTGGTGGCTCAACTGTTGAGTCTCCTCATGATTTTATATGGTGAAAATTTTGTTTGCTTCTACAGCTTGCAGGTGAAAGTGATATTGTCATCGCCAAGATGGATGCCACAGCCAATGATGTACCTTCACAGTATGATGTTAGAGGGTGAGTATATTGTTGCTGTGTGTAGCCTTATTCTTGTTGAGAGATTACTGGTTTATTGTGGTTTCTTTTTCTTCTTCTTCTGTTGCCCTTTATCTCCCATTGGAGCATAGACCCTCCACTAACTTAGACCAGATCATCCTGTCCTTTGCTTTCACATGCATTTAACTCCTCATCTTCCCCATATTTGTAACTTCACTCTGTCTTCCTTCTTTGTGTGTGTTTTTTTGGTGTGCCTTTATTCTGTTAACCCTGTGGATTCCTTTGCAAATACATTCTGGTTATCTCGTCATTTTTTCTTCAGTGTGTGACCTATCCTGCGGCAACATCTTTTTCTCACATCTTCATTCTCCTAAATTTGTTAATGGAGGTTTAGTGAATAAAAAAGAAAGTAACAATTAAAAGAATAGTTTGAAACATTAAAAGTAAAGAGGGCTTTTTGTTGTGCCTTAAATTTAGCTTATTCGGCTGGCAGCCCACCAGTCAGAACTTGCCCCCTGAGACCTAGCAGGTGGCCAGTGGATCACCTGGCAGCCCACCGGTCAGATCTTGCCCCCCTGAGACCTAGCAGGTGGCCAGTGGATCACCTGGCAGCCCACCCATCAGATCTTGCCCCCTGAGACCTAGCAGGTGGCCAGTGGATCACCTGGCAGCCCACCCGTCAGATCTTGCCCCCTGAGACCTAGCAGGTGGCCAGTGGATCACCTGGCAGCCCACCCATCAGATCTTGCCCCCTGAGACCTAGCAGGTGACCAGTGGATCACCTGGCAGCCCACCCATCAGATCTTGCCCCCTGAGACCTAGCAGGTGGCCAGTGGATCACCTGGCAGCCCACCCATCAGATCTTATGCCCTGAGACCTAGCAGGTGGCCAGTGGATCACCTGGCAGCCCACCCATCAGATCTTATGCCCTGAGACCTAGCAGGTGGCCAGTGGATCACCTGGCAGCCCACCCATCAGATCTTGCCCCCTGAGACCTAGCAGGTGGCCAGTGGATCGCCTGGCAGCCCACCCATCAGATCTTGCCCCCTGAGACCTAGCAGGTGGCCAGTGGATCACCTGGCAGCCCACCTGTCAGATCTTGCCCCCTGAGACCTAGCAGGTGGCCAGTGGATCACCTGGCAGCCCACCCATCAGATCTTGCCCCCTGAGACCTAGCAGGTGGCCAGTGGATCACCTGGCAGCCCACCCATCAGATCTTGCCCCCTGAGACCTAGCAGGTGGCCAGTGGATCGCCTGGCAGCCCACCCATCAGATCTTGCCCCCTGAGACCTAGCAGGTGGCCAGTGGATCACCTGGCAGCCCACCCGTCAGATCTTGCCCCCTGAGACCTAGCAGGTGGCCAGTGGATCACCTGGCAGCCCACCCATCAGATCTTGCCCCCTGACACCTAGCAGGTGGCAAGTGGATCACCTGGCAGCCCACCCATCAGATCTTGCCCCCTGAGACCTAGCAGGTGGCCAATGGATCACCTGGCAGCCCACCCATCAGATCTTGCCCCCTGAGACCTAGCAGGTGGCCAGTGGATCACCTGGCAGCCCACCCATCAGATCTTGCCCCCTGAGACCTAGCAGGTGGCCAGTGGATCACCTGGCAGCCCACCCATCAGATCTTGCCCCCTGAGACCTAGCAGGTGGCCTGAGGCTCAGCTGGCAATTGTATTAATGATATTATTATTCTAGGGTTTGGGCATCTGGTCCACGATTGGCTTGGCCGTAAGACAAATTGAATATTTGGTACTCGTCTATATTTTCTGTAGATTATCAGTGCCGTCAGTATTATGGTTATGTTTACTCAATAAGGTACACAAATGCTGTGAGAGCTTATGTAGGAAGTAACATGACTCACATGAGATACACTAGAAAGATTACAGAAAGTTATTGCATGAAACGTTCATTTAGTCGAGGTGCTTCTGCCAGAGAGGCGAGGAACCAGCAGTCTGCATACAAATAGCAGATCTATAAAATGGATGAGCACATACAATTCAACTTCAGGAGCAAGACTAAGTCTAGAAGTAGGCAGACAGGCGGAACATTCCACCAGAGTTAACAGTGAAAGCTAAGAAGAAGACTTATTCTAAAATCATGACTGCAGGACTCACGAAATCAATCATAACTGCAGGACTCAGGAAATCAATCATAACTGCAGGACTCAGGAAATCAATCATGAAGCTTGTTTTATTTAGGGATTTACAAACCTATAGAAAGTCTAAGTCAGCAGTAACTTCATTTGCTTGCAACTATCTCCCACACAGGTTCCCAACAATATACTTTGCCCCCAAAGGCAGCAAGAGTTCACCAAGAAAGTATGAGGTAAGTTTACCTGTTCTTGACTGGATCTTTGCATCTGCTGCATGTTTAACTTTATTTCCTTGGTTGTAATTAACCATTTCGCACAGAGCAGCCACAAATACCAGCAATGGCTGAATCCAGTAAATGTCATATTTATACATTGGAATGTCTTCCCATTTAGATATATAATGCCATGGGTTGTGTTCACTTCTGTGCATCTACATTAGGATTTGAATATATTTACTAAATCTAACATATAGGTAGGTTTTCTTGTGAATAAATTGACTTGTTTAAAGCCATTTTGATGCCATAATTTGGTCGTAGCCTCAGTGTTAGAATTTCTGTCCAGGTCACTGTCTTACAGTTTGTGACCCTTTGAAAATAAAGTTCATTCATACAGTATAGGTCACCCGCTACATTAAAGTCCAGGGTTGTAATCCAGTTCATTCTCACTCCATTCATGTTTATTGAGTACTCTCCATATTTCCTCCCAAAAAAGTTCAAATTTTAAAATTTACCCTAGCACTGACTTTGTTTTCAACCGGAAAGGGATTTTTATTGTGCATTTGGAGAATTAAGGGTGAGAAGCAAGAAGAATGAAATTCATAATATATTTAAATCTTCACTAATTAATAAAGTCATGTGGCCTAATAGACTGAAAGTGTTCTGGAAAGAGACCTGTAGATAACACAGCGACAAAACTGCACACACAAAAGAGTTTAGTTAGTTAGTCAAAGTCCCAACACCACCACAGATGAGCCACCTTATAACTGCTGTGTTTCTGTCCTGGTGGAAGTCACCACAAAATGTCCTTTTCTCTCCCATGTGAAAACTAATGAAATACTTGTCAGTACAGCAAATCTTCAAGCTTGTACACTGCAGCTGCCATATGTGCTAACTTTGACAGTCCCATACTAGAATTTCAGTTATTTCTGTGGAATTTCTTGAAAGCTAGCATTGCACTCACTAAAGTACATGTCATTCTGAACATGATTGGCTGCCCACCATTTTCATTTGGTGCAGTCAGCAGCACACACACACACCTCCACTCACACACTCTCACTGTCTACCCCCCCCCTTTCTTTTCACATAAAATCCACAGCTCACAGAAACAACTTTTCACATCATCAGCTATATGTAACTTTAATTTTTAAATTTTATAATTTATTTAGTTGTTTTTTTCCTCCCACTGTTTTTTAAGCATTTTATTTTGTATTAACTGTTGATTTTGGTCAAACTTTGTTGTTGTTTTCGTGGTCATCTTTTTCATTTCCTCCTCAGTGCTTTTAGTCACATTTATGTTATATAGCATTAGTGGTTGTGTCATCATTCCCTGTGTTCTGTCCTGGTACCATGTAATGAATATAGTATATTTGTCATTGTCTTAGTCTTTCTCCAACTTTCAGCTCTGTGTGATAGTATTGATTTAACACTAGAGACACACTTCTTTAATGTTCTTTTTTGTTTTCCATAGGGTGGCCGAGAAGTGGACGATTTCATTAAGTACCTGGCTAAAGAATCCACAGATGGTTTGAGTGGATACGACAGAGATGGCAAGAAGAAGAAGGATAAGAAGAAGAAGACTGAGTTGTAATGTGAACATGTTAGACATTTTTTATTTTTATGTTAAGTTGATCAATGAATATTAAATCGTAAATTCCACATTGTGTCCTGCTAGGATGTGGCAAATGATGAATGTTTCTGTTGTATGCTGGTTGGAAGGTTTAAAGGTGCTTTTCATGTGCAACTGTTGAGGAACTCTATATATTTTTAGGTCACTTGCCTGTTAGCCTTCCTAATGATGAACTGTTGTATTTGATCAATTTTGTATGGTAGTTAGTAAAAACCTATTTAAAGCAAAGTTTTTGTATGTTTTTGCTTGCCAAAATTTATTGTAAACATTTTAGTTCTTGGAAACAGTTGCATCTTGACAACCTGAAATTAGTTCAAAATCTACCTGCTTTAAAGTTGATTTGTCCATTTGGTATTTTTAAAAAATTATATCTAAAAAAGAGGCTTAAAAAAAAATATCAATCTTTCATTGATGAGTAATTTGTTGACTTTTTGTTTGTTTTGGATAATTATTTTCTTTGAAATTTGTAAGCAGTCACAACTTATGTTGTCTTTATATTATAGGAAAATGTAGATCTTGCTGTATGTACCATTTTGTTCCTGAGAAGTGAGTAAAAATGTTTGGATGTTGGAGCTAATGTGATTAAATGTGTTTTTCCTAAGCTGTTGTTATGTTTTTTATTTAACCCTTCCACACTGGTGACCTAGAAAGAAAACCCTGGGCCATTATTTTGGGAATTTCCCCTGTCCCACTCGTTATTAAAAAACAAAATCCGAACACTTGCGATTGTGGACTAAAGCACTATTAATTTCTAGAGAGTATAAGAGGAGTAATTAGTAAACTAAATGCAGCACTGAATTGACTGACTGACTGACTGACTATAAGAAATATTTATAAGGTGATATTATGACATCATTATTTCCATTAAAAAAAGCCATTCGTTTCCAAGGAAACCCCCTTTAAATGATGTTATTGATCAATATAATCAGTTGCTGTCCTCCTAAATGTTAGTGCAGATGCATGTGATGTCAGTGCCCGTATCTATGCTTCTTGTGAACAACCACTATAGCGAGTCGATATAGCTATATTTATGGGGAACAGAACACAGCTGTGGAGTGAGTTGGTTTAGATCCTGTGCTCAAATAGGAGATACAACAGGGAAGAAGAGGTAATCTGTTTAATGGATGACTGCATTTCTATGCAGCAGAGAGAAAGCAAATTGCAGGTGTGGTCATTATGAGTGCTCTAATTATAGATTCCTTGGAGTTCGAGTGGGGTTTTTAGGCTGACATGTTAATTTACAGTCCAGATGGAGATGTTTCATCTCAGGATGCTGTGGTTAACCTATAGGTGGCAGCCCGGATGGCACAAAACTATTTAGTGGATCAAACAAGCACAACACCACTTACTCATGCTGGACTGCGACATGTTGCTGTGGAACTGTTTTGTGGTGCCTCTTTATAACTGCAATATGGCTACACGTCAGTGTCTGTGGTTTAGGCGTTGCAAACCTGCTTTGATTACTGCAGAGGAACAAAACTCTGACTCTACAAGAGCATCATTTTGCCAGTTCTTCTTTATGGAGCGGAATGCTGGAGAATGACCAAAAAGGATTCACACAAGCTGTCCACCTTCCACCACACATGTCTACGTAGAATTATTAAAATTTTCTGGCCAGATACAATCTCTAACACTAAACTACCTCAAGTCACAAACCAAGAAACTTTAGACAGTATGATAACCAAGAGAAGATAGAAAGGGCTTGGCCACGTTATTATAATGAATCCTGATATACCTGCCAAAACAGCTCTCACATGGACACCAGAGGGAAAGAGAAAACAGGGGCGCCCAAAAAACAACATGGAGACGAACGATGGAAAGTGACCTGAGTGCAGCGTCTTTGACATGGAAAACTGCACCGAAGATTGCGCAGAACAGGAAAGCATGGAAAGACCTCTCTGAAGCCTCATGTGCCACTAGGCATAACGAGAACTAAGAGAGAGAAACCCGCTTCGAAATGCCAGGGTGCCGGGTTCGGTTCCAGCTGCGGATGATTTATCTTGCGTTGGTTTCGACAGTGGTAGCGAGAGCTGACCATTCAGAAGCAGTGGCAAACTACTGAACGTAAAATTTACCTAGAAAAATCACAACAGCAAATAATGCTGCAGTTAATTCTGCAACGTCCTGAAAAGGTTATGCAACTAACTTTCTTATCTGGCCCTGTGGTTGAACAGAGTTTCTGGGATTTTGGACCCGTTTGATTCTCTTCTTTGAAATGGTAATCCTTCAGACTGCAGTTCTGGAGGGGTGGGGGGCAAGCACTCATAACCATCAGTCACCTGTGTTTTAACACCATCACTGTATCCTTTAGATGATGTATTCGTCCAATGCTCTCCATTCCACAGTCATTCGAATATACATATGTGCAGGACATCAGGAGCCTCTCTTGGCAGTGGTGAAACGTCGCAAGCTAGCTTGGTTCGGTCTATGGTGAGACATGATTCCATTACATTAACTTTACTTCAAGGAAGATTGGGTGGCAGAAGAGGAGGGCAAAGAAGGACCTGGAATGACAGCATCAAAAATCAGCAGGACTAACTTATACACTTTTTCATCAAGCGGAAGACAAGAATGGCTAGTGCTTCTATCAATCACCTCCATGATCCTAACGGGCCAAGTGTTATGTTATTCCACTCTGACTCATCCAGCATTTGCTCTCACCCTATGTCTTTAACATTTAAAATTTTTCGACATTGCTCTCGATTCATCTGCTTATCATAACAGGGGGTTGCGCAGTGGCTAAATGCATGCTCGCCACATCTAATGTCTTGGGTTTGAATTTGCGTAAGATGCTAAACTTTGTATTAATGAGTTGGGCTGTGATGTAGACCCAGGAAATATGTGGAGAGTAAAACTGGTTGGTGAAGGGTTGAACACCTCACGGATGTATCGACTGGTCAAAAGAAACCGGTATCTCTCACCACTGCTGATGCAACAATGGCCGTGAGAAGGGTTCTGTGCTGTTAACCACTTTACTATCACCAACAATAAACAAATAAATGAGGTGATGATTATCTTCTGCTTTGAGTAAATAAATTAGGTGATGATTAACTTCTGCTTTTAGTAAATAGTTTGAGTGATGATTATCTTCTGCTTTGGGTAAATAAATTAGGTGATGATTTTCTTCTGCTTTGGGTAAATAAATGAGGTGATGACTATCTTCTGCTTTGAGTAAATAAATTAGGTGATGATTTTCTTCGGATTTGAGTAAATAAATTAGGTGATGATTATCTTCTGCCTTGAGTAAATAAATGAGGTGATGATTATCTTCTGCCTTGAGTAAATAAATGAGGTGATGATTATCTTCTGCCTTGAGTAAATAAGGTGATGATTTTCTTCTGCTTTGAGTAAATAAATTAGTGATTGATTTTCTTCTACTTTGAGTAAATAAATTAGGTGATGATTATCTTTAGATTTGAGTAAATAAATTAATTGATGATTATCTTCTGATTTGAGTAAATAAATGAGGTGATGATTATCTTCTGCCTTGAGTAAATAAATTAGGTGATCATTATCTTCTGCCTTGAGTAAATAAATTAGGTGATGATTATCTTCTGCTTTGAGTAAATAAATTATATGATGACTATCTTCTGCTTTGAGTAAATAAACTAGGTGATGACTATCTTCTGCTTTGAGTAAATAAACTAGGTGATGACTATCTTCTGCTTTGAGTAAATAAATTAGGTGATGACTATCTTCTGCTTTGAGTAAATAAATTAGGTAATGATTATCTTCTGCTTTGAGTAAGTAAATTAGGTGATGACTATCTTCTGCTTTGAGTAAATAAATTAGGTGATGACTATCTTCTGCTTTGAGTAAATAAACTAGGTGATGACTATCTTCTGCTTTGAGTAAATAAACTAGGTGATGACTATCTTCTGCTTTGAGTAAATAAACTAGGTGATGACTATCTTCTGCTTTGAGTAAATAAACTAGGTGATGACTATCTTTTGCTTTGAGTAAATAAATTAGGTGATGACTATCTTCTGCTTTGAGTAAATAAATTAGGTAATGACTATCTTCTGCTTTGAGTAAATAAATTAGGTGATGACTATCTTCTGCTTTGAGTAAATAAATTAGGTAATGACTATCTTCTGCTTTGAGTAAATAAATTAGGTGATGACTATCTTCTGCTTTGAGTAAATAAATTAGGTGATGACTATCTTCTGCTTTGAGTAAATAAATTAGGTGATGGCTATCTTCTGCTTTGAGTAAATAAATTAGATGATGACTATCTTTTGCTTTGAGTAAATAAATTAGGTAATGATTATCTTATGCTTTGAGTAAATAAATGAGGTGATGACTATCTTCTGCTTTGAGTAAACACATAAAATCAAATGAGGTGACCAGGGCATGTTTGAGGTAAAGGCGCTGGTGTGATATTTACATGACCTATTAAAGACATCGGCCCCTGGTGGCTTATGTCACTTCAGTTCTCCACCCTCCACCCTCACCATCACCATCATCACCTCTCCCAAGCAAATTTATAAAAGTGCTGAGATCGCTGCCACCCACAGGGTATCAATTGCTGTTTATCAGTTTGGCTTGAGCACCATATGTCCTTTGAGTGCCTTGGAACTCATTGAGTCCCAAGGAACACATCATACGTTCATAGGTTCCCATCTAGAAGCCCAGTGAACACAAGATGCGCCGATTTCATGTCTCTCTCGACTACCCCTTGGGTCTCAGAGGCTGAACCCCCTAGGACTAAATGAGGCGTGGAGAAAGGTTGTTTACTGGCTGACGAGGTACCCCGGGCAAGGAGTTTTATTGTTTACTTCAGTTTCAATTTCTGTAACACTATCGGCAACATGACCTTAAATCATATCCCAAGTGTTTGTTTGTACTTCCAGTTGACATTTATTTTAAGGAGTGAAGCGTTTTCTGGTAGTTTCACTTGTCTCAAGATGTCCGACTATAAACAACAAATTCATACTAACACTGGGCTACCCTTGTGGTAC